CATTGGACAACCCATAGAAGGGTATCTGTCCTACAAGGGTGTAGTACTGCGGCTTAAGCTCGAAATCTCCTCTCTGAATAGCAGGGGGGCGGATGGCTGATCGGTTGGAATAGAACTGATATGGACGGTTGTAGTCAGCCAAAGATCTAGCTTGGTTAGCCTCTTCTACAGGTTGAATGATGCATGTAGGTGCAGTCTCTTGCTCAGGTATGATCTCCTTCTGAGCGTTCAGTTACTGACCGGTTGCATTACGCAGGTGACCATCTTGATCATGCAGGTCTCCATTCTCATCGGTAGTGAAAATAATAGGCGCTACCATGTCTCGCCAGTTAGTATCGATAGATGTAAGATGAGGAATATCGATCGATGTCGGATGAATGGTATCGGTCGACGAACGGTTGATGATGTCGAGCGATGTGGCGGTGAGAGTATCGATCGACGTTGAAGGTGTCTCGGTCGACTGTGGTAGGCAAGTATCGGTCGACAGGGATGTGTTGATTTCGATCGATGAGGAGCGTATGTCTTTGCGGATGCTACGTTCCAAGCTGTGAGGATCTTCTGAGTACAAAAGGTTTTTGTCCTTGTTGCTTCTAGTACTGCTGGGCATGTACCTGAAAAAGACAAGAAAAGTTTTGGTATCAGAAGATAATTAAACAATAACAGAAAAATAACCTAGATCTTATCTGATTAAATCTAATGTTATCAAAGATCCCCGACAACGGCGCCTAATTTGATATCACTCAAATGTTTAACCCTAAGAAGTGAATTACTCTCTCAAATAAGAGGTTCAGCTGTAGTACTTAGGGATCGAATCCACAGGGAACTAAGGAATACAATAGATATAATCTAAATGATTATGCTAGGTTGAATAGGTTTAAAATAGTAAAATTGCAGTTTTATAAGCAATGGTAGTTGCTTAAGAGAATGGATTTTAGGTTTGAAACAATAAAAGAAAGTAGTTAGATTCAAAGTTGCTATTCAGATAATCAGGATTATAATGCTATAGATGTTTTAATGAATTGCTTGCAAGGTATATGAGAACTTTGATTCTTAGATAGATCTAATAGCAGTCGCTAAATAGACACATCCATTGATCTTATTGCCAGCAATATCGACCGATGTTTTGACAGCGATATCGGACGATATGGGTTGCTGTCGATCGATGACTCTATAGGAGTATCGATCGATATAGCATAAGATTGAACCAAAACTGTGTTAACCAAGATCATAGACCGGCTCTCGCACAACCCTAGAAGATCTAAGCTCATGCCAAATGATTGCAGGAAAATGATTAACAAGTTAATTCACATCCATGATCATACTCTAGGTAGCTACTCTAAAATAAGCATTACGGTTCATTTAGATAATGAATATTAACAATTCAACATTCCATAGTTGGGGCTAAACCCTCATAACTATTTGAACCCTAAATCTAACAAAGATATCTACTCAGACATAACTGAGAGATTCATAACAACTAGGTAATAATAAAAACTCATAGATTAGAGGATTGAACTTTTGGTTCTTGGAACAACAAATCTCTTTGTGTGTTTCCTCTAAATCTAGAATTCTATAACCTTTAAGAATTAAGATGAAAAGAAATACTTTATAGAATAGAACAAAGTAACAAGAAAAGTATGCAAAGCTTTTCAAGTACAAAAGGTATCAAAAGGTATTAGAAACATAAAAAACATCTCTAGCCAAACACAATGGCAAAAACTATAAATAAGAGTTCCATTAGGTTAAAAACTTGTCAGGGGAATTTTTGTAATATTGGGAAGACTTGGGCTTCAAGTCGGCCAAGTTGAACTTGTTCTCCACGGATCATATCGATTGATGGTACATGGTGTACATCGATCGATGGAGTATCTCGACTTCATCTTTAATAGAAGCGTCATCGATCGATTACACAGGGTGTGTATCGATCGAGATGTGTCCTCATTATCTGATCTTCATAGTCATCTCGGAAAACTCTCCTTTAAGCTCCAAAAGGGCACCTAACTCATCATTTTACTCCAAAGTGCTCCTGAACCTGAAAACATACCTAATAGACTCCAAAACATATATAAAACTTATAAAAACATATCAAACCATGAATAAAAGCGGGTCAGAATCATGGTATATCAGAACACGTGCCTGTGACGCTAGAATATTGGAGAAAACTATCTGGAGAAGTCAAGACATTGTTATGGAAATCAGTTCAGGTAACAGTTTATAGACAATGAAAACAACACTAATTTCCAAGTTAAATTTTATGCACGTTACGAATCATGATTATACTTTCTATGTGAGTGCAAGCGAGGTTCAAAGTTGATGAGGAGTACCAAAGGATTGTAGTTCTTAAGCAGATGAGAGCATTGTGGAGATCATCAAAGTCACACTTAGTTACCCAAATAAATGAAGCTGAGAATAACCAACAACGGATGAATCGTAGACCTAAGAATGTTCCTCCTAATGAGTGGCGCAAATTTGTAAAGCAAAAAACTAGTCAAAAATTCAAGGTAGTGAGTGATAGCTACAAGGAGAGAAGGCGTAAACAGATTCCACATACTTGTAGTCGAAAGGGAATGGTTAGACTAGCTGAAGAGATGGTAAGCATATATGCTATCTTGTTATGCATTCAATTTCAATGTGACACAAGGCTATTGACAGATTATATTCATACAGAAGAAAAGTTTTGAAGACCCGTTTGAAGTGTCAAGACTTAAAGTTTGGGTGAAATCACGTACCAGAAAAGATGGAACTCCTATTAACACTAATGCCGCTGAGAAGATTGTGAGTTAAAACCATCATCTTGTACTACTATTAAACAAACTCTAATGTCTCTCATTTGCTTTTTTTTTTTTATTATCTACAGGAAAAGGCAGCTGAGATTCAAGCTGTTAATGGTCCTTCTCATTCACCAAGTAGCATTGAAGCTGCAGATACACTGGCCCAACTGTTAGGACCTGATAATCCTGGTCGTATGAGAGCAATGGGTAGAAATATAAGTAAGACGAAATTAGCTTGCTTCAGTGTCAAACACAAAACTATCACTGAAATGCAAGAGAAGCAAAATCATCTCCAGCAAATGGTTAACGAGTTACAGTCTGAACTTGCCAAAGTTAGAAGCCATGTAAGAAAATTATCTATTATTACGTTAAGATAAGAGGTAATAACTCTGTTGTTTTGGGTTTCTGTAACAGAAAGAAGACAATGAAATAGGTGAAAACTCGGCTGCAAGAGTAAGTCTTGTATATAAGATGAATGTAAGGCTCTCTAGTGTACACTATAACATTTTGCCATCGTTGCTATTTTTCAGAGTGTGAACAAGAGCTCACAGAAGAGGTGTCTTCTTATTGATTGGGCTGATGAAGATGGGAACGTTGGTGAGGGCCGTATCCTTTCGTCTGACCCAGATGATATAGTGAATGACAGTCGATTAGGCCCTAAGGATGTTAAAGTAATGGTTGATGCTGCTACTGAGCGTGAAGCATTTCTATGGAGGCCTACGAGTAACGTGCGTACAATTCAGGAAGCTCTTGGTCATGTTATTGCATGGCCTAAACATAAATGTGTTGAACTAGGCGTGGGGCTTCTACCAGAAGATATTGCACCACCGATATAGGTTTTTTCGATTGCATTAAGATTCTAGATAAGGTAATGATGTGTTTGCCTTTCATGAGTTTGTATCTTAACATGTTTGACAAGGCACGAAATATGTATCGTAATCAATTTGTAACGGAAATAAATTGTGCCGTAGTTTCATTAATAATAGCACCTATTTTTTCGCTATGAAATACTCACATTTCGTAACATTAAGAAAAATGCTATCTTAAAGTGGGTACCTATGATGGCTGCCGCATACATAGCACTTATGAATTCGCTATCATACATCTACCATAGCATAAAACTCGCGCTAAGAGTGTCCATATTTCTTGTAGTGGCTGCTTGTGACCTGAAAGGGGATCTTTGTGGTAAGTTCTCAGCATCTTTTCATCTCATCAATGTTTTATTGGATAATGTTTTAGTCTAATCTTATTTGTTATGTTCCCATTCGTTTTAGTATATTCTTAGTTGTATGTGTATGATACTGATTTGACTCAGACTTAAGTATTTAGAATTCGTTGCTGGATTTCTGAGATACAAAGCATTCAATTCGATTGTTTACACTTGCAGATTATGTTGGCCATATCAAACTTGTGAATGGGCAGGTTCTCACTGCCAAATTTGTGCTTGATGAAGTCGAGATAGCTTCAATCCGCCGAGTTTTGCTTCATGTACAGACACATGAGTAAGCTATTCTCTATCCTCATCCATATTCATATATGGTATGTCTTACCACACGAGTTTGGGTTGTTGCAGCGATCCGGTGATGAAGCTGTACCTATGGGACAAGGCTGCTTCGGACTTCACTGAAAAGTTTAAGGCATCTGGAAGCACTGCAAGTGTTATCTTAGTCACCACCTTAAACCTGAAGCGGTTTGGAGGTTTGTATTTCCAACTTGTGCTCCCTGATTTAAAAAAAAATAATCGACTTAGTGTTCACTAGCTATGTAGCATTTAAAAATAATGTGAAGAATTAAGAATCGAGTAAGCTAGATATGACATGTTCTCTTCATTTCATTTTATTGTGAAACTGCTTCTGTATTATCACATTGCTTCTTTGACATGCATCCTCACTCTATCTCTATGATCTGTTCACGGGTATTTATTGATAGTGATGTCGAAAAATCCGATACTATCTCAGTTGGTAAGGTTTAGTGTTTATATATTCAAATTCAATATGAAGTACTCTACTATTGTAATTTCTGGTTTTACATATTCTTCAGGTTGAACTCAAACTTATATGTTGCCAATATAGTTGATGCAGAGTTTGTCACCGAGCCGGAAGTAGTGACCCTAGGAGATCTCTTCTCTTATATGAAGCAGGCATCTGTTAAGGTATTATAATCACAATGTCTGGCACATTCAATAAGAAAATCTAAGTTCCTCATTCAATTTTACAAACATTTTTGCAGGTTGCTTGGTTTGAGTGCACAACAACTATTGATGTTGTCATGCACGATTCTGGGTGGTATTATATAGGCTGCGCTATGTGCCATACTAAGGCAACCAAAAGGCCTACAACGCTTATGTGTATGAAATGTGGGTAGAGTGAAATTGTTGGTGTGCCTTTGTAAGCAGTTTATTTTTTTTAGTTATATTAATACTTTGACTGCCATGGTTATTAATGTGTTTCTGTTACAGGTACATGTCGAAGATCTCTGTTTATGACAACATTGATCAACCGTATTTGTTCTCCTCTGTGATGCTGGTGAGGAGTTGACTGGAAAGAAAGTGTCTGATAGTTGGTTGAGAGCTATTACCAGGTATTTCGAAACTTGTATATCTACTAAATTTGAAAACATTTTCATCCAATATATTTGAAGAGTATTCCGATAAATTTTTGAATGTTTATTAGGAAAATGAGAGTGTAGAAGATGATCACATAGTCCCAGTGCCTCAGGCTCTGATTGCCACCATTAGACAGACACAAAAGTTCATTGTGAAGGTGTCAAATCATAATTTGACTGGCAAGACCCAGACTTTAAATAACGAAGGTGTGCCCTCTTGAAGCCCCAGTACTCAATGGCAACTTAGGTGGAAATGTTGACGAGGAAACTGTGAATGAAAAGGAGTAACTTGCAGATGAGTTGGTGAAAAGGAGTTCTGATGGGATTGTGTCAGGAGATGCCAAGCGTGCCAAATGTGGCTAATGATTTCTTAGTAGTGGTTTTTTTGATTTACTACTATGCTTTGTTTCCTACCTTTTTTGAACTTTGTGTTTGCAGCATTTGATCAACACTTTTATAATCCCGTTTGATGCTAATAATCCTTTTTCGATGCAATTCCACGTACCATTGTTTTTTTTTAATCCCTTTTCAAAGAAGGGTATAGGATCAGAGGCAATTCAAATGATCAATGGAGTGATTTGTTGTGTTCTGCCATGTATCAATGTTCATTCAAACTCCCAAATCCCATGTATTACATCTCCTGAAGTTGAGAAAACAAACCCTTATTTGATAAGGCAATTCAGCTGGCCTACTGTTTTTTAAGTTTGATTTGGCATTGTAATTCCTTGCTAGACATATATATATACCATTGACTTCATGAGTTCTATGCTAAGAGCTTAATTGCAACATAAATTATAAAGATACAAAGTGTCACAGACTCCTCGGGTCCTATGCAATGATGTATAAGAAAGCAGGACAGACTCAAATCTTAAGTGTCTCAAGGGTAGCACTTACCAACATTTGTTTAATGATGCAAAGATTCTTAAGCATAAAAGAAACAAACAAAGACGCAACATGTAGTCTTTTATCCAAAACAGATCCAGAAGGAAAGACCATAACGTTTTTCCATATATACGATACCACTTTAAAAAAGGGAAAGAAAGTTAAACATAAGGTTTACAAAATCAAAATGAAAAGGAGAACAAACAAAACAAGGTACCATTTTGATTAAAGACAGAGTCAACAAACGTAATATAATAATGAACTTTACATTTACTAAACTAAGTCTTCCTAATTAAAGACAAAGTCAACAAACATATTTTTTTTTCCGTTGATGGAATTTTGGGGGTCTAGAAACCATCACACTTTCTCTACATTAAATATTCCTCAGCCATATAAACCTCTTATATCTGATTTCAACCAAAAACACAAATAAAATCCTAACAATGAATCCATCATTATCCTATAATCCACGTTTTAGCTGCAAAACGAAACCAGCTTCCTCATATCCTAAAAGAACCCTAATCATGAAGATCAAGAGGCCCAAAAAAAAAAGAAAAATCATAATAACCATTGCACTAAGGACATTAAGTAATGGCCACTTAAGCAACAACACGTGGAGTGATATGGAGTACATGCTTGAGTATGACAAAATCAACTACAACTCAGTGCAACTAATTATAGATGAGACTTCTGACTATGTTGCAGGCGTTATTCCAACTCTCGAAGATACCACATGTACAGATCTTGACATAATTGTTAAGTTAACTGATCTCAACCCTCAAGCTTTGAGGAGACTTGATCTCGACGCCTATACAAGTGGCCTGCGAAACAACAGAAGACAACCCATTACTAGCGAAGAGCATGAACTATGCCCAATTTGCTACCGCGTGCTTGGCACCGATGGAGAAATTAGTTATTTTATTTGCAACCATTTTTATCATCACCAATGCGTTTTAGGCTGGATCAAGGTCAACTTAACCTTTCCAATATGTAGAAAAAACCTTGGTTAACATAAAATAAGTCCACTCCCATCTTATGCAGTTATGGAGTTTACATTTTATATGTAAGACTCAACGCATCTCCTCTCCTTTTCCAATACCATCTTCCTAGCTTCTCCCTTATGAACTCCAACAGGAACTGAATAGGAAACCCTCTTGCTCGCTTCAGTGCAGAATTAATTGATTCAGCGATATTGCTCGTTTTTAAGTTGTACCTGTCTCCGTGAAAATGAACCCTTGACCATAGGCTCACATCGGCATCCACCAGATACTATGAAGATCCGGATTTGCACTATGTATCTCAGCCATGTACCGATCAAAGTCGTAAAGTGTATGAGCATAAGCAGCACCTTTCACCAAGTACAAAAGATGCTTCCCTTTATACTTTTTGACAATATTCTCTTGAAGGTGATAATAGCATATTCCTCGTGTTGCCCAAGGAAACACCTTCTCACATGCACTTATAATGCT